GAGGCCCTGCTGACCCCGCCTGGCCTGTGATGGACCCAGTGTCCTGGGCATGAGAGGAAACTGGCTCTTGTCAGCATCTGCCATCAGCTAAGATTTTGCAAACTGACATTTCTTCTGGAAGGACGTACGAAAGTTAAAATTTATAGTAACTAAGGGTAGAAGCCAGCATTCCCTCAGAAGTTCAGATTACATAAGGATCTGAAGAAAACCTTAGGCAAAGATGGGCATGGTGGGGAGGCAGGGAGAGGAAGCGGAGGGAGATAGAATATAAAATGGGACTCAATGCTGAGTGGGAAGGAAGACTAGGTGCTGACTGCTGGAGCCCATCAGTTGTGTTCCAGAATCTGTTTTGGTTTGACTTTCTGTCCATTTTAATTTATTATTTACTGCTGTCCATGTATACGCCAAGTTCTGAACGAGGAGCTATTGAGCATATGATTTTTTAAAAGGCTCTTTTGGCCTTTGGAATGGACATAGGCCTGGGAGCATTGGCCTTTAAGTCATCTGTGCAGTCATCCATTCATTTCTGAGTCACTTCCTGGGCCCCTCTCTGTGCCAGGCCCCAGGAGGGGGGCAGGTGGGGTCATGGAGACCCTTGGGGGGGGGTCAGAATTCCATAAGGGAAGCAAAGCCAGTAATCTGTTGGGGCTGAGAAGTGTCCCCAGGGCTATGGTGGGTGTTTTTCTAGTGTCAGGAGGGCCCTGGAAGGTGGGACTGTACAAACTAGGCCTACACTGACAAGCAGGTGTGAGCAAGTCAGACAGTGAATGTGTGCATGTGTGTGTGTGTGTGTGCGTGCGTGTATGTGTCTTTGGAAGGAAGGGTGTTATCCAGAGAGTCCAGAGGGTGAAGCTGGAGAGGCAGAGTGGTCTGGACATGAGGAGGGGCCATAAGATGAGGCCCTAGGGCAGCCTGAGATGGCTGTGGAAGGCAGGGTGAACAGAAGCAGCTGGCCCAGTGTGGGTTAGTTCTGACCACAGAAAAGGGAGTGATGGCAGGCAGTGGTGGACCGAAGTTGGACCACAGGCCTGGCTTAAAAGCCATGGTTTTGGGGGCAGGTTCTGAGTGTCTATGCCACACACAGTCCTTCTATGTGCAAAACCACAACAATGATTTCCCAGTCAGCTCCCACAGTGGGAGGGCAACAGAACACAGGAGAAGCAGGCCCACATGCACCCTAACGTCTCCCTCAGGTTGGCCTTTGTAGCTCTGGGGTTTGCAGCCTGTGTCCATAGCCTGGTTGTGGCCTCAGCACATGGTAGCTCTGGGGCAGGTCATCCCCCTGAGCCTCTGGTGTTTCATCTGCATAACGGGTAAGAAATAGCCTGTGAGCCCAGGCTGTGAAGGGTGGCCTGTGCAAGGCCCACCACGGGGCTGGCCATATAGGTGCTGCTATTGTTATCACATTATCTAAAGCCAAACTGCAGTTGTCTGCAAGGGAGACTTGGGAGATTACCAGCACCTGAAGTCCAGGTTTGTGCTGCTAAAGTCAGTTAACAGCAGCCATAGATACCGCTACTGCTGGGCATGGCGCCAAACCTTTATTCTTTTGTTCATCATGTGATTCCCGTGAAGTAGCTGTTATTACTCCCATGTACAGATGAGAAACCTGAGGCTCTTAGGTATTACCTCTACAAAGCCAGTAAACATTGGAGGTGGCATCAACCCCAGGGCTGACCCCACAGCATGCGTGGGACTCCAGTTCCTGCTCTGCCTCTAGCTTGCCGCGAAAGGGAGGGATGCTTCATTAACTTCTGGGGCATGTTTCCTCACAGGGGGCAGGAACCTGACAGGAAATAGGCATAAGCCATAAAGAGGTACTTCCCGGAAAAAGAAATACACTATCTTCTGGGGGTATGAAAACTTGCGCAGCCTCACTTGTAATTATAGAGGCACATTCAAAAGTGACAGTGTGTTTTACTCATCAGATTGGCAAAGATAAAAACTGCACAGTGTGAGTGAGGGTGTTGGCAAATGGCAACTTTCACTTCCTGCTGGTGAGTGTTAGAGATCATGCGACCTTTTGGAAGGCAAGTTTTTAGTATCTATTAACGTTTTAAATGTACACACTCTTTGTCCCAGAAATTAAATTCTGGAGGGAATTTATCTAGAAAGAATGTAAACACATGCAGGTAAAACTCTACTTACAAAGGTTTTCATGGTAGCACTGTGTCACTGGTTAGAAAAAAAAATCGAATAAAGACTGTATACAACCTAAATGTCATTCAAGGAGGAATAACCAATTCATTTGTATATTCATAAATCCAAACTATGCCCTGAGAAGAAGTTACTCTACATATGGTGATAAGGTATAATCTTTAAGATATATTCTTAAGAAAAAAAGTAAGATGGAGTAGAAGACGTAAATTTTCATTTTGTAAAATAAAAAGTATTGTGTATACGAACAATACTTGTAGAAGGATTCTCATAAATCAATAAAGTACTTGCTCTTGAGGTAGGTGGAAGGTGTCTTCCTCTTTCCCATTATTAATTCTTCATTCAGTGTTCAAATTTATTTGTTTTTGTTTTGAGCTTGTGTTTGTTGGGCCCATTGAGTTTGCTCAGTCTCTAGAAGATGTTTTGGTTGAGGCTTGAGAAAGGCATTTGCCATCCAAAGAGGCAAAACAGACTTTACTTGCCAACCTTCTCCCGCTGGTGACGGGCTTCTTCCTACTTATTGCAGATGGGCTGATGTGCTCTCACTGCAAATACAGGATGCCTCTTACCCCACAAGACTCTTTCACAGGGTGTTCTACAAGTCCCCAGAAATAAATGCCCAGCCATAGCACCTTAAAAAGGCCCAGGTACTGACTATAACTCCCTCCTCGACCGATATCTGGAGAGGTTTTGAAATGGCTGAGATGTAATTTCTTTTGGCGCTGGATGCAATTCTTTCTGCTCTGTCAGAGGTGGTGAATTCTATATAAAGCTGCTAAACCTGGCCATCTCCTCACTGAGTGTTGACCTCTTCCATCCAAGGGCAAAGCAATGGATTTCTGCACATGACTCATTCGAAATAACTGGCATTAGGGCTTATGGGAACTGGCTGAGCCCAGCTGGGTAGGGCAGGCCTGGCCGGAGTGTAACAGCGGTTCCCCTCCATTCTAACTCATAGTTCTGAGGAATAGTGATGTAAACTGAGACATCCTGCTTGAGTTAGCAGCAAGAAATAGGGCCCCATGGTTCTCCCACAGCAGAGAGCCTGCCATAAATCAAGTCCTGAGGGTAATCTGGAATGGTATGCAAGTAAGGGCTGCATCCTTGTCAGTTCCAGAAGGGCTGTGTTTGCAGTCATTGGTCAAGATTTGAAACTTGAACCCAGAGAACTTTGGAGGGGTAGGGGCTGGAGAGGGAGGGGCAGGGACAAGGCTCTGAGGCTGACAAGCCTGGCCTCTCCAGACTGAGAATGGCTACATGCCTGCACTTCCTAAGTACTTGAACTGGAATGATTACAGTGGATCTGTCCTTTCAACTTTGGCCCTCTACACAAACACATACCTCCCCCCCCAACACACACACATATGAGCTCACTAGTGTCTTGATTCACATATACAGATGCACACATGTAAACACACCAACCATACAAGCTACAGAGCCACAGTCTCATGTAAAATGAACAAAGATGCCTGACATTTATCTAGTACTTAGTTGTGTTGATCTCTGTGCTGAGCCATTTACACACACTTAATTCTCACAACCCACAGAGGAATATCATACTATTACCTTTTGCTGATGATGAAACTGCTGCTAATAGAGGTTGGCTTGCCTTAGCTAAGAAGAGGCATTTGCTAAGAAGAGGTATACATGATCCCAGTGCGGGCAGCGTGGCTCTCACTCTGACTCCAGTCTGCACACCCAGATCTAGCTGAGCCATGTGCACACAGGCACGCAGTATACTGATCCAGACCTGGCCCCACTCACTCTATTTCGCCCCTAAGGCCTCACAACCACCTGGATTTTAAAGACTTATAAAACGAGTGGGTGTCTCCATACCCATATCATTACCATATTAATTGCTTAACATGATTAGATTACAGACTCAGAATGTCTCTTCTCTCACAGTTTCTAACGACCTAGCCAGTGTGGGGTGTAAGAGGAATAAGCATTCATTCTTTTAAAAATAAATTTTAGTTTTTGATTGCAAAGCCCAACAAGGGAGAAGGGGCGGGGGTGGGGCAGCAATGTTTCTGAACATCCTCCCAACGAAACTCAGGGTTGTATGATTTCCTGTCAGCAAGAAAATAACAAAACGAGCGGGTTTCAAAAAGAAAAAAACAGGCTCTGAGAAATTACAAGCCCTCAATGGTCAATGCGAGCTCCCCCTCCAGCATCTGTGCGTCCCTTTGAACACCAGACAGGGCCTGAAAACAAGTACAGGGATGATGGAGTTGATCTAAAGTTTTCTCCGAAAGCACCTCATGTTCCCTGCCTGGGCGGCCTGGAAACAGCTTCCGAGTTCTTTCTGGGCTGCTTAACGCTCTGCCTCTCCTAGTAGGTCTTTTATTTATTCTCTTAGGGGAAAGTTCTTGCCACAGATACTTCCCGACCAATACGCAAAGAAACAACGAGCAGACGCGGGGGTGGAAGTGCTCTGGGGTCTCTCCAGGCCCAGGGCGCTCATCCAGCGCGCCCGGGTCCGGGCGCAGGGAGCAGACCCGGCGCGCCAGGGTGCGGGGCACACAGCTCGAGCGTCAGGGTCAGCGGGCGCAAAGCCCGCGCGCCAGGGTCTGGAAGCGCAGACCTGAACTCCAGGATCGGTGGGGGAGCAGCGCGGGGTCCTTCCAACGCGGGACTGGGTTTCCGCGCGACCGAGGCGCACCAAGACGTGGGACAGTGCTGGTGTCCTGGCCTGAGCCCGGCATACCTCTGGTCCACAGAGGCAGGGCATGGCCAGAGCCGAGTGTCTCGGCTTGGCGGTGGCTCGGCCCCTGCGCCTCTGTTCGGCCCTGTCTGGAGTTGGTTTCCGACCCCGCGGACTCCTCCCCGCGACGAGTACTCACGGTGGTGGGTTGGCGACGTCGCGTTGAGGCCGCTCATCGCCGACCGTGCCGGGCGCGGTCAAGCAGTGGGCCGAGGGGCCGCGTGGAGCGGTGCGAGGGTCGCACGGGCCTGCTTCTGACCCTCACCAGCTGGAGGAAGAGGCCCCTGGGTCACACTCTGCGCGGGCCGAAGGGAGGGGCTCTAGCACCAGATAGGCAGACTTCATTTATTTTTTCTTCTACAGACTTGGCTGGTGAGGTTTCCACCCCTCCCCCCCCTTTTTAAACACATCCGCCCACTTCTAAACTCTTTTATGCTCCAACTTCCCTGCGCAAGAATCACATTTTTCTAACTGTTTTTGTGTCCATCTGCGGCTACCAGATACAGAGGTTGTGGCTGAGAATTCCCCTGTGTGTGGACTGAAAAACTGCCAGATATGACATGACGGCCTGCCAAGGCAGTGTCCGGGACTGTGACCAAGTAGGGACAGACCTGCGTTTGAATCTTGGCTGGCTGCTCTGCCACTCAAGTGGTGTGGCCTCTCAGAACCAAAGGCATTTGTGGCCTGTAAGGCGCTCCTGCCTTGCTGGCCCCTGGGGTGGGGTTGGGGGTGGGGGGCACTGTCCCAATTTATGGATTAATGTTTGGGAAAGATTCTTAGAAAAAAGGATTGCTGGACAAAGGTCATGTGATTTATTTGGATCACTTTTTTTCTGAGACTTCCAGACATAGTGGAGTTTGTGGAGAATTCACTTTCCTTAGGCAACTAAACATTCAACTTGTATTTTACACACTCTGGTTAGTTAAATGGAGTCTACCTGCATCTCCCCCACAAAGAATGTTGTGTAAAATGTAGCATTATATGCCCTCCTCCCCACCCCAAGAGAAAGGTAGGGAGTTTAGACCATGTTACCCTTATATTAAATCACAGCCCCAGGAGACACCCTGTACTTTTCACATCTGATGGCTGATCCTCCTTGTGGGGCTTTCCATTGTGGTTTACCTGACAGTCTCAGTGCACTACCAGGGACAACCCCCTTCCTTTCCCTTCCCCCATTAAGGCTGCTCTGCTGCAACCCTGGGGCACTGTTGCAGCTGTTTCTATATATATATGTGGATGGCAGTACCATCCACATTTAACACAGTCTGAGACTGTCCCTGGAGGTGTGCAGTGTGGATGCTCTCCCCAGCTCCTCCTGGGCTGGACGAACTCCAGGCATATCATTATTAGGATTGCTTGTCTGACACAATGGGAATGTGTTCTTAATTCTCTTTAGTTCGATAATGAAGAACCTCACATTGCTTATAAAGATTTAGTAAAACTTCCATACTGACCATATATATGTTGACTTCAAGTGAACTATTTACAGAATGCCTTTGGCCGGGTGTGGACACTTTTGAGTCTTGATTTTCTCATCCATATCATGGAGACAAAAACACTTACATCCCAAAGTTTTACAGAGGCAACGTGTCTAAAATAACAGTGAGCAGAAAAGCCATTTAATAGAAGTTCAACGTTTTGTTTTGTAATACATTTAGGTCTGTGTTGGAAAACAGTATCCTGTGTCAGAGTTCATAAATTAAACAACTTTGATTCTCTGAAATGTAGCTGTGGAGCTGAAAGGAAGCCAAAAAATCCAGCAGGTGAGCAAAGGCCAAGTTCCCAGGTCATCTCACCTCACTTATGGGAAGACTTCTCAGAGACTCACTTACAGCCTTTAGACATAATCACAAGACATTTGCTTACTTAATTTCTCAGGTTAGAATAGGTTAAAAGCACCAAAATATAACAAGAATTCCTTAGAGGAAGCCAAAAAACAAATTAACTAACTAAACAACCAAGATAGAAAGCTCGACAAACTTTAAAGGTCAACTATAAGAGCAAAAGTAGCATTTATTTTACAACCAAAGCATCTGGGCTCCAGCTAGGAGTGGAGGCTGTGACCGCACCAGGGTAGTCAAAGCAGCAGGGCTCTAGGGCTCCATTTGTGTTTGCTTGCATCTTCGCTGCCTTCTAGCTGGGGAACTTTTAGCATTTTACTTAACTTTTCTGAGCTATGAAATTGGAGCAATCTTCAAAATTAGATTGTTGTGAGTAATATGTTAGATAGTTAATAATTAATGGGATAACACCCAGCACATCAGAGTTAATGATATCATAATATCGGTCCCTTTCCCCCTCAGGGGCACTCTTGGTTCATAGTAAGTACTCCAAGCCATTCGGAAAAGAAGACGAGTAATGTTTAATAATGAGTAGTTATTTAGTTAGCAGGGAAACATTTGATATATTTTAGAAGATTTAAGCATGGAGATATCTAATTTTAAGGAAACGAACCTCTAAGGAATCTTCTTATTTTAAGAAGGTAAAATGATTATATGAAAAATTAGATTATATTTCTCTGATATTAACTTACAGAAATGCATTATTGGTGTTTTCTATGTGTTAGATATTTATGAATGGAGTAGAAAGAACTCAGGTATATTTTACAATAATAAAACTGTTATCTCATTTAATTCCCATAAATATCTTCAAAGAGGATATTTTCAAGGGCCCATTTTAAAGGTGAGGAAACTGAGGTTGGGAGCACTAACAAGAACTTGTCCAAGGGAGTGCAGCCAGGATTGAGACTTAGTTCTGGCAGGCTGTGTGGTGCCTGTAGGAGGCAGCTGATATAAGCTGCTGAGCCCTCCAAGGGATGAGAGGTGTGAAGGAGTCCTGTAGGGGAACTTTCTCCTTTTTTTTATAGGGCAGGAGCTGCCCATGGGAGGGGACCCCTGCCTTTCTTATCCCTACCCCAAACTAACACAGTGCTGCCCCTTTTTTTGGGAGGGGGCTCAGAGATCCCCCTGCTCCAGTCTCTCTGTATTCTGGCTGTGAGTTTTTATAGGCTGAGGTGGGCATATTTTACTTGGGTCCTATAAAATTTCTAATTAAAAGTTTTGCCCTTTAGGCTTCCAGTCAAGATGGAGGTGTAAGTAAACACTGTGCCTGCCTCCTCTCATGTGCATAAGTAAATCACAACTAAACTACAGAACAAACATCATGAAAAATCACCTGAAGTCTAGCTGAACAAAAGTCCTACAACTGGGGACACGCAGAAGAGGCCACCCAGAGACCGGTAGGAGGGGTGGAGATGCAGGATGGGCTGGTTCTCTAACTGTGCATGGCACTTGAGAATAAAGAGGAAATCCTTGCTATGGAGATCCTTCTGGAAGAGCTAGGGGTCCCTATCCCACACCAGGCTCCCCAGCCCAGAATTCTAGTGCAGGGTGGAGAAGTCCTTACAACTTCTGACTGTGAAAAACTAGAAATGGAGATTGTGGCTGAGTGAGATGCAGGGCTGCCTCTTTAGGGGCCATGCTCTGACATAGTCACTGAGCTCCAGCACTGGGGCAGCAGCTTGAAAGGTGCCAGGTACATATGAGGAGGAACTGAGTAGTCTAGCTTCAGGGCGAAGGACGTAGGGGCAGCTATCTCCCAGACAGAAGTGCTGGCAGAAGCCATTGTTCCTTTGTTAGCTTCCCTCTTTTCAGTGAATAGATGCTGGCAGCCACCATATCCAAGTCTCCATCAACCTGGCTAACACAGTTTGCTCTGCCTAAGTGATTCCCTGAGACCCTGCCCCAACTTGCAGGTCCACCCAAGCTGCCTCCAGTGGCTTTTCCATACAAATGGCCTATCTTGGCTGATGCTGCAGACTTTCCTAAAATCTCTCAAAGGCTCACAAAACCCAAAGAAGCAGCATTTGGCCTCAGTGTGCCCTGTATGTCTTGCTGAGCATCCTTAAGTCTGGCTCTAGCAAAAGTAGGCCTCAGTTTGTGGCTTGGCTTCTTGAGGCACATTCAAGCCCAGCACAGGTGGCAGCCATTTGCGGATTGCTTGGTGGTTCATGCCAGGTGGGCCTGGGCCAGGCATAGTCTATGGCTGAACTTGGCTTGCAGCAGTGCGCCTCCCAGGAGGCCCAGGCCTGCACGTCTAGTGGCTGGCTTCAGTCTCAGCTGGAGCATCACCAGGGCCACATCTGAAGATAACACACCCAAAGGGCAGACTGGGCATGCATAAGAGCCCTGCTAAAGCAAATCCTACTCCATAGGGTCAGCCTCTGAACAATAGCTTCTCCACTTGTAGTCATGGCCAGTCCTCTCAACCAAACTGCCTGAGGGTCAGTCCCTCCCACTGAAATACAAACAGCAACCAAAGCTCAACTATAATAGAAGGACACACACAACCCATAAAAGGGACACACCTGGAGCACCTGGCTCAGGTGACCAGGGAGACTGTGTCACTGGGCCCCACAGGATACCTACTACATAAGGCCACTTTACTAAGACTGGGAGACATCACAGCTCTACCTAATTCACAGAAGCAAACATAGGGAGGCAGCCATAGTGGGGAGACAAAGAAACATGTGCAAAATGAAAGAACAGAACAAAGCTCCAGAAAAATAACTAAACAAAATAAAGACAAAATATTAGATTTAGAGTTCAAAACTGGTTATATGATGCTTAATAAAGACAAAATATTAGATTTAGAGTTCAAAACTCTGGTTATATGATGCTTAATGAACTTATGAGAAGAGTAGATGAACTCAGTGAGAACTTTTACAAAGAGATAGAAAATATAAAAAAGAACCAGTGAGAAATGAAGAATATAATAACTAATGAAGAATAGAAATGAAGAATACTTTAAGAGCAATCAACAGATTAGATGAAACAGAGATTCGAATTAGCGATTTGGAAGACAAGTCAGCAGAAAACATCTAACCAGAACAGCAACAAGAAAAAAAAAATACAAAAAAAAAAAAAATTGAGGAAATCTTCCCTAATCTGGTGAAAGAAATATGACCCCAGGAAGGGCAGACAGTCCCAAACAAGATGAACCCAAAGAAGTCTACACTAAGACACATCATAATTAAAATGCCAAAAGTTAAAGACAAAGAGAGAATCTTAAAAGCAGCAAGAGTAAAAGCAGTTAGTTACCTACAATGGAGCTCCTATAATACCGTCAGCTGATTTCTCAACAGAAAATTTGCAGGCTAGAAGGGTTTGGCATGAAATATTCAAAGTAATGAAAAGTAAAGACCTGCAATACAACCAAGATTACTCTCCCCAGCAAAGCTGTCATTTAGAATCAAAGGAGAAAAAAAGAGCTTCCCAGACAAGAAAAAGCTAAAGGAATTCATCACTATCAAGCCAGTATTATAGAAAATGTTAAAGGGAGTTCTTTAAGAAGAAATAGAAAAAAGAAAAAAATATAAAAAATATAAATAATGAAATGGCAGTTATACATATTTATCAACAATTACTTTACATGTAGATGAATTAAATGCTCTAGTCAAAAGACATAGAGTGGCTGAACAAATAAGAAAACAAGAACTATGCAGCCTGTAAGAGACTCACTTCAGTTTGAAAGACAGACTGAAGATGAAGGGATGGAAAAGATATTTCAATAAAATGGAAACAAACAAACAAAAAAGCTGTGATAG